TCGGCACAAGAGAAATCAAGTGAATATCCAATGTTGCTGTTGTAAACATTTGAAATTCAAGCACTCATAAAAATTTAAATTGACATTTTGGTGAATATTTTATTTTTGATAAATGTAGACAAACTTATGAAAAACCTTTTATCAAATTTTTCAAATCTTAGATTTAAAAAGATAATTTTTTTTTTTTGAATTTTTAATTAAAAATAATTTAACAATTTCGTGATTATAATTTATTTTGTCAGAATTCAAACTTTAATTGCTTTTAGGAGTATTCATTTAGTATGTTACCTACCGATTGAAAATCAAATTTAGTATGTGACCTACCAGGATTACCGGGTTTAGTGTGTGACCTACCAAGACGATGATCTATATTATGGGTATGGACAACTTATGTTTGCTTATCTTTATAATTATATTATATTATATATTACTGGTTTTTACCAATAGATATTTTGTCATTYTAACATTATCGACAATATTGCAAGTACGACCAGTATGTGCTCTGTCGTTAATCTGATATTGCGTGTTTAAACTTTAAAATCTTGGCAATCAAATTGTATACGATTATTTCTTCTGAAAAAACAATATTAGAATTTTTACAAAAGAATAAACTATTACCACAAAATAACAAGACTAATTTATGCCATAAATATATATTATATAGGTTAGGTTAGGTATATACATTTTTAAGTGATGTACAAATAGTGAATTGCCAACATAATTTAATCTAATGAATTTWTTTTATACTGATATTTTGTTGACTGATATTGAATATAATCCGTAATCTATAATAATAAAATAACCTAATTATATAATTAATTTAACTGTTTTTAAATTAATTATCGGTCCAGTAGGTTACGCGTACAAAATGAATACCCTATACGGTAGGTCACATACTAAACAAATACCCTTTTAGGTACAAAAAAAATTGTATCTATGTATTTTCAATATTTTCCAATATTATTATTATACTATAAACATTTAAACCAGAGATCATTTTTTACAGTTTACTATTAAAAAATTATGGGTATATGTTAGTAAAATAAAATATTTAACTATTTAAGTTATATCTATAAACACTAATACAGTATTTAAATGTATAATATTATATGCCTACTATGTAGAATATATATACTAAATAGTCTGCCCATTCGACAGTTGTTACCAAGGTTATTATATTGGTTGTAAGATAGTACTTATATAAATATAGTCAATAATTGTATTATGATTACTACAACCAGGGCAACTAAATTTGAAAACGTTTGATACTTTCCTAATAAAAAATATACTTATAAAAAGCCAACTTCTATACCTAATTAAAATTTAATTTTCTAGAACAACTAACATTTAAAATGGTGTTTTCATGTTTATCATGTATGGAAGATTTCATAAATTAATTTCTTTATTCTAAGTTGTACATATAGGGGCTTAAACCCCTATCTAAACTCATTTATAATAATTTAAAACAGTCTTGGCAGTTGATTAATATTACTACTATAGCAGTGCTTTAAAAACTATAATATGTGACATTACTGTAATAGCAGTAATAATTCCAATGATTTCTAGTGAAAAGGGAATTTGTATGTATAGGTAATAGGTATATATAAATATAAAATATTATATACTTTATTATATATTATATTACTAAGCAAATTGCACATTTGGGCACTGTAAATTTAAATTAAATGATCCTACATAATTATTTTCCATTTATAAGTTCACATAGTTCACTTTAAAGCATGCCTGTGGAACATATTAGCATTTCCCACTGCATGCCAATCTGTTAAGCGTCTTTCTTAATCTAATCTACATAAATTATTGCAATTAAACTTGGTAAATTGCACAATGTACCAGTTATCYAAGTGGCTTTACAAGCATCACGACTATTCAACCAATGGTCATCATTTTCTCGATCATATTACTGTGCGTTGACAACAAATTATATTATGTATATGCTAGTTATAGTTATGTACATGCAAGTGGAAGGTAACAATATGTACTATGCAGCAATATTAATTGATCAGATGTGATGTATTTTGTACGACAGTCAAACTGCCGCACAAAAAGAAAAAATTAAGGAAAAAAAATAGCCAGCGGCAAAAGTGTTCTACTCACGGGGACAATAGCGTTATCACACATAACAGACAACAACTAGGCACACAGCTTGGCTTATTTGTCGTCCTTGTTACAGACTTATCCCACAAGTAAAAATCCTAGGTCGTCGGTATCTCTTTGTCTCCTCGCAGACGACACTAGACGACCGTGTAGTACGTGAGACACGGTTTTGTAAACCGACACGTTCGTCCGCCACTCCGTCTTCGTAATTTTTACAGCGACATCAGTGTGAACACTTACGCGGTAACAAAAAAAAAAGAAAAAACAATACAAATATGTAAGTAAAAACCCTGAACGTCGACAGAATTGAGAACAGTAACAGATTAACAAGCAAACAGAGTGGCTCCGTCGACGTTGTTGCTCGTCTGCGATGACGGGTGGTGGTAGTGGTGGTGTTGTTGTTTGGAGGCGGTGTGCTCCTGTTATCACGGCGCCGATCAGTTATCAACGACGTTAACGACGACGGGAACTTAAATCTAAATAACACAGGGCAAAATTTATTGTGGAGAATAAAAATAATATTGTTGGATTGTTGGTATGGACATTTATCTTAGACTTTTCGGGGAAAACCATTCAACTATACTATAGGTCATATTATAATGTCTTATGGGACAACGGACAACGTCTAGCGTTACGTTTATTATCGTTAAATGTTATAGGTCTTATATAGATGTCTGCGAGTTCAGTAAAACAGCGTAGACCTACGTTTTCAAATATTAATATGACGTGCACATAAGTCCACTGTCCATACGTTAATATTTTGTAAGCTACAGCTAAGACCGCATTAGAGATTTGACGTCCATTATTTTGAACGATTGCCAACCGGTTTTATACAAAAAATGGAATAAAGTATTTCGGACAAGTCTTGTTTGACATTAAAAAGAGGTCTAACAACCGTGATGGGCTGATGATGATGTCACGTATAAATTATTATCGTTATTTGAATTATTATTTATTACGACTTTACAATAATGATCGTTATAAGTACAACAATAATACTATAATTTTACATTACGAATTTATAACATTAAACTCTAGAAATTCCGAATATTAACAAAATTTGGAATGGATGAGAAAATAGATAATTATTATGATCCGTTAGTCATTAGATTGTCATTACTGTTGTTTTTATTTTTCTATGCGATAAGGTAAAATTTTATTTCAAGCGATTTGGGCCATTTGTGGGTTTACGTAGGTAATTGCCTCGTTTCAATAGATAATTCTTCAAACTGCGTTCCAAATGATATGATTACATTCCTCTACTAATTGAGCCATATTTTTTATACATAAATATTAAATACCATGTTATATTTTCTGTGAGTTGAACAACCGATATCGTTTTACAAACAATTATATTGTACTCATAATTGATTTGAATTATATTTCTTTAGTGGAATTAGCCGCATAATTAAATATTAATTATATTTACTGATAATAATTTACGAGTAAAAACGATTGTTTACTTGAATTTTTTTTTTAATCCACAGTCATAGTGCTATCAAATAGATTTATTGTAATAGTTTATCTCTCATTTATAATAAATTAAAAACTGTTTATACACACTTATTTATAACTTTATAAGCGTAAAATATTAATTCGGTAACGAAATCCAAATCCTGTTCATAATATAATAACAATAATAATAATAATAATAATAACCAACAGCGTATTTAAGATATTTATTACTGACACAATAATGTACCCGTGTTACAAATACAAATAGCTAAATTTACATATTTTGTTAATAAAATTTATCTTTATACTATTAATAMTAGTAGCGATTTGTTCTATTTTTGTAGTAGGTACCCATTTTGTATACCTTGATAAATGACAGTTGATAGTACCCTTGCCTCGGAGGCAATATATTATTGGCTATATTTAAACATTTTTTTCAAGGACAAACCACAGAATGGTTGTATAAATAAATTCATGGGTAAGTACACGATAAACCGATAAACTTATCGTTTAAACAAGTGAAATAAATACGAGTTTTGATCGATGCTAGTTAGGTTGTCGATCATTATTGGTAGATAATAATGATAATATGTCCGAAAAAAAAATGAGTATTATAGTAAACTTCATCTGTTAATGGCTGTCGTCAGCACTGATACATATACACAAAAGGTGTCCAATATATTAAATATATACAGAATACAGACCCACCACAACATATTATAGGCCTAGGTACAGAAATAAATCCAGGCCCCTTTAAAATAAAAATTAATTTTTATAAATTTTTTTCAAATATATCGAAGACTAAAGTAATTATTTGCATGAACGCCGGGCCTCACAGTACCATAGGTACTTCTGACCCCCCCCCCTCTAGTGGAGAGCCGTAAAAAATATATAACACCATATCAACTCATCTACATAGCGGAGAGTGGGGCAAGCTGGAGAATTTCCCCCCTGGCTATTCAAAATATTTTTAAAGATTGTTGGTATACCTCTCCTCAAATCCTAACATTGCCCCTCATATAGAAAAATTTCTGTGAGCGCCTATGCCACGGTATTCTATGAGGTATGAAATGTTTAAATATACGACACCATCGCAAAGGCTCCGATATACCTACTAATCTACCCGACACCGATCCGCCATTATTACACATATATATATATATTAATTAAATATACCGTCTGGTCGAGTGTTCAACTCACGATCTACTCCTTACCTAGAGTGTAGATCATCCGAACATAGAGTCGATTTGACTCTAGTAAGTAAAATATATCATGGCGGGCGCGTCTGTCGCAAAAATCGTTTTATCTCGTTTTCGTTCGTGATATCGTGACAAAAAAAGTTAATATTATTTTTCTATTTCGTCTTGCGCCGATATAATATTATTACAGATATTATTATACAAATTAATTTGTAACCACGTYATACTCACCAGTTGGACTCGAGCGCGTAGGTACCTACTACATCAGAGACCGAGTAGGTCACCTACTGCCGTCGTTGGCGGATGATTTTTGATCTCAGAATGCTCGAAAATATCGACAGTTCAGAGTTTTCCACGCAATCCAGTAATAGTAMACAACGATGTTATATGTAAAACTAATCGACGGAATCCGCGGTAGTCGAATGCCCGACAAAAAGCGATGCGATTAGGTAGGTTGTAGGTACGCGCACACGACACACAACAGACGGACACGAAACGCTCGACACGACTGTTTGCTCGCTGCATCGACATGGGCGAGGGCTGAGGTGGTGACTGGAGACGCAAAATCTGCCCGGCGTTCAGACAATAGTGTTATACCTGTTATACGGTGTAAAGTCCGGCCGCCGGAAACGGCCGCGATAGTGTGAATGCACACTAATTGTTACAAGTTACAATATTAAAAATACCTAATTATAAATTTATAATAATTTACAAATTATATAATACCGTATTTCTGTTATATTCTACCACTGTAATGGCAGTTTTATTATGAACGTCTATAGACTATAAGACGATTATTTTATCAACATACTTATAAAAATAATAACCCGCTGTTCATAGAGGCACTCGGCAAACGTTATGATTTAAAAGCAAATAAAACATTGAAAACTTCCGTGAAATAATGATATTTTTTTTCAATATAATATTATTTTCAGACCACTGTTTGAAAGACAAATGCTAAAACACAGTGGTTGGAATCTTTCTTTAGTATTTTCAATTTTGATTAATGTATTTAATCAGTTATATACTTAAAAACTTTTATTTTTTACAATTATTCATTAAAAWAAAAATAAAAATTACAATGGTTGCAGAAATATCAATTTGATTTACCATTTAAAATTTACAAATTTGAAAACTTGTCTTGATCTAAAACTTACAGTGGTTTGTTTTTAAGATTAAATTATTGTTTTACCTTATATGCACCATTGAAATTGGGTAAATGTATATTAAAATTTAATAGAATTGTGTTACAATTATGCACTAGTCATATTATAGCTATTAATGTTACCTATACTAATAATTGATAACAGCCAATTAGAYTCTGTTCAAAAGAGTTCAGACAATTAAATGAATATATTGTTTTATCAGGAATAACTGGTATATTGTTTTCCTCAAAAAATTGTATCATTAAGATTTAATTTCATATAAGTATATAAATATATTTTAATTCAATATTATAGCTATAGTTATTATATTATACATAAATTATTATTGAATACATGTATGTAGTATAAAAATAGAATTAWCAGGGAATTGTATTTTGGTTTCTATTATAAACTTAATACAATCTATAGTTATAAGTTAAAAAAAGCTTGTGATTAATTTATGATAATATTTATATAATATACATCCACTGCACGTCTGCACCTAAGATAAGTATAGGTAAGATTATAATCTAACATTGGTAGTATTAATATAACAGAAAAAAAAAATGTTGGTAATAACTTATGGCTATGACATATTTAACAAACTAAATACATATAAATTTAAAGTAAATTATCTAATACATACTCATACCAGATATTATACTTAAATTCAGTTAACATGCATTTAATAAACCCTTTAAGTTCCAAAGTTATATATTACAAATAAATGAAATAATTAACACCCAATCAATGGCACAAATAAATAAAAATAAAATACATTGATGAATACATATATAGCATTTATAGTATGTGATAAAAATATAATAAATATATATATATGCTTAGAATATACAAAAATATATAGATGAAACAAATACCACAATTTAAATTAGAAAATTCATACAATTAGCTTATTAATTTAAAAAAAAAAAAAATGGTCCCTATAACATAAAGTCTGAAGTAAAAATTATCACTTGTTAGATACAGTAAAACCTCTCTATAACGGTCCCTCCATTAAACAGAATACTCCGTATAACGAAAAATGTCAATAGTTCCAGTGCAAATAGTATATATTGTAATTTCTACCTCTCTGTAACAGAAAACTCTTTGTATCGGAAAAATGTTTGGTCCCATGCGATTCCRTTTAAGAGTGGTTTCACTTTATTATCAATAATAATTAATAGAAATATATAGTTAACATTAAAATTATAGTATCAAAAATTACATATTCTTTTAGGCATCACATTTAAACAAAATTTGGTTTTTATAACAAAACGTGATAATTTGAGTACAATATAAAAATATTTGGTGTACATTTCAGATCTTCATAACGAATTATTATAAATTTCATCTGATAAAATTGAGTTTTACAGAGGAATTAAGGGGACTGCAGCCAAAATAAATAATTATGTAAAACATATAAAAAGTTAGACTTGAAATCTTAAACTAATCTTCTAAAGAATGGCTAAAGTCATTTATCATTATTACAAAAAATAATGGCTTACTTATACATTAAATACCAACATTTTTGTTTCTTTAAATTGTCAATATTTTACTGAAGAATTTGAATAAATAAAACATCCTCAGCCATTTCTTAACTAGTATAATAACTCAGTTATATCCATTTTCAAAATTAATATCTGCCAGATCTAAATCTTAATTTTTTTTCTAACTATTTAATCTTATAGCCACATTTTTTAAATTGAAAAAGTTTATTTAATTTAATATCATTGTCAATGCCGCCAGTGACCAGTCAAAATATCACCAATTAAAATTATTTATGGTACAAAATATCTCTRTTTAAAAATATTTCCCATGAAAATATTTTAATAATGTGTTATTATTAATATTACAAGTACAGAAAAAATTATTTATTATACAATCAAATGTATTTATAATACAGTGAGAAAACAGAAAGTAATTCACATACAATAAAAATTTATCACAAAAAATATTTTTTACTTACAATTCAAAGTTGTGGAGATTCATATATTATAAAATTGTATGTAATAAAACTTAAATAAATAATTATAAATTCCAATCAAGATATAGTATATATATATATATATCACTTCAGACATCAGTATTATGGTAAATATATAATTATATTTTGTACCTACTTTCAATAATTATTGTTATAAAAACATTAAAATTATTAAAATATTTTCTTAGGAGTATTTCTATTAGATATATTTTCAAACGGAGACATTTAGTTTAGTACCATAGATACTTTTTACTGGAGATATTTTGACCTGAAACCAATGCCGCAGTGTCAGAAATTAATTTATAACTTATCRAGTGGTATTATGTGATCATAATATACAGATAAATTAGTCTCAAACACAGTTATGTGACTTTATTTTGCGCAATCTCACGAATCACTTTAATATCATTATATGTTAAACTGTTTAGATTAATTTCCTTAAAAGAAAACAGTCMCCTAAATACATATAAATATTATAATTTATAAAAATTTCACTAATGTTTTAAAAACCATTGAGAAACTTCTAAATCAGCTAAAATTTGTCAATTTTTGCATCCTATCATTCTCAATATCTGCAATAAAATATACAAATAAATATAATTTGAATCATTTTTTAGATATTTGAGTATGTCAAATTAGCAAATTTTATAGTAACATAAACTTAAAAAAATATTTTATACGTTGAAAACATATAAATTCGCTTTAAGTAACATTTACAATAACAATAGGCATGTGAATAGTAGTATAGTAATAAGCATAGTAATATAATTAATGCACGGTAATAAATTGAAAAAAATCACTGATGGAATAACAAAAAAAATAATAACCAATTATTATCATAAACAATTAAGACTAAAATGTTTCAACGGTAAAAGTACTAGTTAGGGGTTATTGTGTGAAATCTCCCTAAAATATCATCAGTATGTTTAATAAGTTGACAATATTATTTTTTAGGTGGTATTAATGTGATACTGACAACAATAGATAATTTTTTTTTTAAATTAATCATACGACACCTAATATAATATGGGCATGTGTTACACATAAGCATTAAAAAGTTTTAAAAACAAATGCATTCTAGTTATATACCATATTTTATGCTACCCATTTCAATAAATAACTACTGATTAGAATAATATTGATGTTGATAAGAGGCATTATCATCAATTATTCCTTGATTGTAATGTTGTTGCTCATAATGATGATCTATTCCTATAGAGTCTTCATCACCATTATCAGGGTACATGTGTAAAACGTTTTCTAAATTGTCAGCAATCTGAAAAATATTTGAATATTATTAATATTTAAGAAAGTATCAGAGTGGATCCATGATAATAATAATTCACTGATGATTATCAAATTTTTTTCGCTAACGCGAATTACAATTAGAAAATAAAATTATTAACGAAAACATAAATAATGTTAATTATTATAAGAATTTTAATTAACACATATTTACAATCATAATTCATAGATTTAAAAAATCATTATTATTAAGCATTGCTATATTAAAGTTATAACCAAACAATAAAAGTTTAAAATAGTTTAGATTTTTTTTCAATAAATTTACCAGTATCCAACATTTATAGGTWAGGTTAGGTTACAGATTTTTTATTTCAAGTTCTAGTATATTATTAATGTTCTCATAAATGTATTACTAACTTTTCTGTAATATTCTATTTGGTTGCGTAAAAGCTGACGAACATGGCCAGACATTTGGCCAAGTACGTGATCTCGATGAAATTGATTTATCTCTGCTAATAAAGCATATGACACTATGTCGGTACGACGTTGCATCTCGCGCAGCAGCCGTCGCTGTTGTTCTGGGTCTGCAACTGCTACAGCTCCACCACCGCCAGAACCAGATAACGATGCTCCACCACCAGATCCTCCAGTTCCTTCACTACCACTGCCACCAATTGGTAAACCTTCCGAATACAGTCGTTCACATTCTTTCCGTTTTTGCACTGCACTCTATTACAATAAAAAAAGTAATTATGGCACATAGTCAAAAGTTGCATAGACTTTAAACAATATCATCAATAAATAGTAGTTTAATCCATAATAATCGAAAAATAACAATAAGTAAAGTAAAATATGTTACCACTAGTCTTAACATAAACATATACTAYCAAACACAAGTCTGCAAAATACCTTGTGTACAGCTAGTATATCAGGGAATGCGCCTGCAACACCACGGTACACATGTAGCATATCAGCAAATGAGTCCCATCCTACAACGGGTAGCTCGTCCATCAGCCGTCCACCCATTTCATTGTACACATCACCAGTTTTCTTCAATGCAGTCATCAGCTGCCGAGTAGTTAGACTTATCACGTTTCCATTACCACTAGTGTCTCCTATTGATGAAGTTGATGCTCCTATAATATTAATTATTTATGAAAAAAATAATAAGATAGCATAATATTAGGGTATCAACAGGTTATTAATCAAATAGTGCTTCTTACCACTATATGCATGACCCAGCATATAAAATGACTGGCCTAATCGTTGAGCATCACGTTTATAACATGTTTGCATACGTTTTGATTGTTCTGCAACCGTCTGTGCCATATTTTTTAACGCTCCCTCTAATCCGCCCACGAATCTCTGAAAGCCGTCTACTTCACGGTCTCTTTAAAAGTCAAAAGATAAAAATAATAAATAAATAATTAGAAGTAACTTTTTAACATACATACAAAATTGCTGGGTTGATAGGTGGAGGGGGGTCACTACTACCATCTGCAGACACTACTCTAATTACAAAAAATACATTGGCCCCAGTGAGCGTCTCAGCACTAGTGTTCCGTGATTCAGCCTTCCGCTTTCCCGTCTTCCAGCGTTTCTCGTCTGTACATGTGATGAAGTGGTGCCGCCATACCCAACCTCGTGACAGTACGGGATGTCGGCAAACTGCATCTACGAACGCCTGTAATTGCTGTTTACGTCGTTCAATGAATTGTTCTTCATACCGACCTAAGTGTAATTAGTAATTTTGTTAAAAATGCATAATATTATTTTTGGTTTGAAAAATATTATTTATTAATGACTATAGCATATGGCATATATACAAAGCAAATCAACAAGTAGGTCTACTAATTGATACTTCTAACCTGAAATTTGTTTATCTGGTAATGGTGGTATTGGCACTAGACAGCAGTATTTTTCCAACAACCGTTCATGTAACCAGTCAAAGTGCTTGTACCTCCTGGATACTTGAATATTGTTAAACTATAACATAGAAACCAAACAGAAATAAAATATATGTACATAATACTTMYATGATTTAAGTAATTCAGAGAGATGCAGTTGATAAAATGTATGTACAAAAAACTAAACTTTCTTGGTTTTAACTTCAAGGGATATTGTGAATACTCAGTTATTTTAAACACATAACATAGTAAAATATATTTTTATTGTACCAATAATTGTTTTAAWACAAATATGAAAGAATATTTATTATGGMAATATARAAGTTTTATATCAACAAAAACTTTGCAAATCTACTTTAAAAGTATATAAATTATTTTATACAAATTGTAAAATTTTTAGGATTTCACATTACAGGATGGTGAGATAAGAATATAAATATCCTGAATTTAAGAATTTACAGAAAATAAGTTTAAAAATAATATGCATATAATTGTTTAAAAATATATATAAAACTACCTTGTTTTGAATAACTCTAACTATAATTTTATCATATAGTAGGTGATACAAATACCATTAAAACTCATTTAAGAGTAGTATTAATAAAAATTTATAATTTTTATTAAATAGTGAAAAGTTATCATGGTAAATATTTTACAAGTTTTTAATGGAGCAATTATAGATCAGTTAACAGTCATAAAACATTTATTTAGCTAATAGTAGCTTAAACATGATTTAATGACTAATTTTTGGTGCATTAAATTTTATTGAACCATTAAATTAATACATTTTTTCATGTAACATAGCAAAAAAGTATTTTTTTATACCTGATTATACCATTATTAATACTATATGCTGTTAAGGATGGAACTGCACAAAAGATGCAAATAGGTTAGATAAATWAAAAAATTAGTAGAATATAAACATACCGTTGGAGTTAATTGGTATGCAATAAATGATTTCAAGCCTTTGAGTTTAGATTCCTTCTTTGGAGATGCCACCACACACTGGTATCCCTGTGGTTCATCATCAGGGTCTCGGCACCATTCAACATCCACTGCCATAGGACCACCACCAGTACCACCACGTACAACAATTGTTATGTTTTCTGTATCGGGTAAGTGGATGGGCGGCTGGATGGCACCCATTATATATGATGCGTCACCACCACCTACTAACTTAGAAAACCTAGAACTGCTACTACCAGTTGTTGCAGCTGTCTTGCCTTTAAAAAATATACCAAATTTTATAATTATTATTTCACTATATTATTTTATATTAGACTTTTTTTTSTTTGTAGTTAATTGTTTTTGATAAATTGTGGATAAATTATCAAAAATCTAATGATACATTCATTAAAATAAATGTACCAAAATTAGTAATTCTAGGTACCTGTAGTTTTTCTTGACGATGTTGTCTTTGTTCCTATACCTGGATACTGAATAGTTGGAGGTATAACAGCAGAAGAAGCCACGGTACTGCCACCACCATATTCAGAATCGTCATCCCATTCATCATCATAATAATCATCAGGTGACTGTAAACACAATTAATTTCAAAATTAATTTACCATTAAAAATTAGTTATCTCAGACATGTTTGATAATTGGATATTTGCAAATTTATCAGTTTAGAAGAAAAACTATATATGTATTATGTATACATTTAAATACATCACACAAATATTATAATTAATTAACCATTAAATAATGTAGGTAATCTTGATTTGAATCAAGAACAATAAAGCTTAGTTTAAATTTAAGTATATTAGGTAGGTAGGTANAAAAAAAAATGTTGGTAATAACTTATGGCTATGACATATTTAACAAACTAAATACATATAAATTTAAAGTAAATTATCTAATACATACTCATACCAGATATTATACTTAAATTCAGTTAACATGCATTTAATAAACCCTTTAAGTTCCAAAGTTATATATTACAAATAAATGAAATAATTAACACCCAATCAATGGCACAAATAAATAAAAATAAAATACATTGATGAATACATATATAGCATTTATAGTATGTGATAAAAATATAATAAATATATATATATGCTTAGAATTATAATATACAAAAATATATAGATGAAACAAATACCACAATTTAAATTAGAAAATTCATACAATTAGCTTATTAATTTAAAAAAAAAAAATGGTCCCTATAACATAAAGTCTGAAGTAAAAATTATCACTTGTTAGATACAGTAAAACCTCTCTATAACGGTCCCTCCATTAAACAGAATACTCCGTATAACGAAAAATGTCAATAGTTCCAGTGCAAATAGTATATATTGTAATTTCTACCTCTCTRTAACAGAAAACTCTTTGTATCGGAAAAATGTTTGGTCCCATGCGATTCCRTTTAAGAGTGGTTTCACTTTATTATCAATAATAATTAATAGAAATATATAGTTAACATTAAAATTATAGTATCAAAAATTACATATTCTTTTAGGCATCACATTTAAACAAAATTTGGTTTTTATAACAAAACGTGATAATTTGAGTACAATATAAAAATATTTGGTGTACATTTCAGATCTTCATAACGAATTATTATAAATTTCATCTGATAAAATTGAGTTTTACAGAGGAATTAAGGGGACTGCAGCCAAAATAAATAATTATGTAAAACATATAAAAAGTTAGACTTGAAATCTTAAACTAATCTTCTAAAGAATGGCTAAAGTCATTTATCATTATTACAAAAAATAATGGCTTACTTATACATTAAATACCAACATTTTTGTTTCTTTAAATTGTCAATATTTTACTGAAGAATTTGAATAAATAAAACATCCTCAGCCATTTCTTAACTAGTATAATAACTCAGTTATATCCATTTTCAAAATTAATATCTGCCAGATCTAAATCTTAATTTTTTTTCTAACTATTTAATCTTATAGCCACATTTTTTAAATTGAAAAAGTTTATTTAATTTAATATCATTGTCAATGCCGCCAGTGACCAGTCAAAATATCACCAATTAAAATTATTTATGGTACAAAATATCTCTRTTTAAAAATATTTCCCATGAAAATATTTTAATAATGTGTTATTATTAATATTACAAGTACAGAAAAAATTATTTATTATACAATCAAATGTATTTATAATACAGTGAGAAAACAGAAAGTAATTCACATACAATAAAAATTTATCACAAAAAATATTTTTTACTTACAATTCAAAGTTGTGGAGATTCATATATTATAAAATTGTATGTAATAAAACTAAAATAAATAATTATAAATTCCAATCAAGATATAGTATATATATATATATATATATATATTTATCACTTCAGACATCAGTATTATGGTAAATATATAATTATATTTTGTACCTACTTTCAATAATTATTGTTATAAAAACATTAAAATTATTAAAATATTTTCTTAGGAGTATTTCTATTAGATATATTTTCAAACGGAGACATTTAGTTTAGTACCATAGATACTTTTTACTGGAGATATTTTGACCTGAAACCAATGCCGCAGTGTCAGAAATTAATTTATAACTTATCRAGTGGTATTATGTGATCATAATATACAGATAAATTAGTCTCAAACACAGTTATGTGACTTTATTTTGCGCAATCTCACGAATCACTTTAATATCATTATATGTTAAACTGTTTAGATTAATTTCCTTAAAAGAAAACAGTCMCCTAAATACATATAAATATTATAATTTATAAAAATTTCACTAATGTTTTAAAAACCATTGAGAAACTTCTAAATCAGCTAAAATTTGTCAATTTTTGCATCCTATCATTCTCAATATCTGCAATAAAATATACAAATAAATATAATTTGAATCATTTTTTAGATATTTGAGTATGTCAAATTAGCAAATTTTATAGTAACATAAACTTAAAAAAATATTTTATACGTTGAAAACATATAAATTCGCTTTAAGTAACATTTACAATAACAATAGGCATGTGAATAGTAGTATAGTAATAAGCATAGTAATATAATTAATGCACGGTAATAAATTGAAAAAAATCACTGATGGAATAACAAAAAAAATAATAACCAATTATTATCATAAACAATTAAAACTAAAATGTTTCAACGGTAAAAGTACTAGTTAGGGGTTATTGTGTGAAATCTCCCAAAAATATCATCAGTATGTTTAATAAGTTGACAATATTATTTTTTAGGTGGTATTTATGTGATACTGACAACAATAGATAATTTTTTTTTAAAATTTATCATACGACACCTAATATAATATGGGCATGTGTTACACATAAGCATTAAAAAGTTTTAAAAACAAATGCATTCTAGTTATATACCATATTTTATGCTACCCATTTCAATAAATAACTACTGATTAGAATAATATTGATGTTGATAAGAGGCATTATCATCAATTATTCCTTGATTGTAATGTTGTTGCTCATAATGATGATCTATTCCTATAGAGTCTTCATCACCATTATCAGGGTACATGTGTAAAACGTTTTCTAAATTGTCAGCAATCTGAAAAATATTTGAATATTATTAATATTTAAGAAAGTATCAGAGTGGATCCATGATAATAATAATTCACTGATGATTATCAAATTTTTTTCGCTAACGCGAATTACAATTAGAAAATAAAATTATTAACGAAAACATAAATAATGTTAATTATTATAAGAATTTTAATTAACACATATTTACAATCATAATTCATAGATTTAAAAAATCATTATTATTAAGCATTGCTATATTAAAGTTATAACCAAACAATAAAAGTTTAAAATAGTTTAGATTTTTTTTCAATAAATTTACCAGTATCCAACATTTATAGGTWAGGTTAGGTTACAGATTTTTTATTTCAAGTTCTAGTATATTATTAATGTTCTCATAAATGTATTACTAACTTTTCTGTAATATTCTATTTGGTTGCGTAAAAGCTGACGAACATGGCCAGACATTTGGCCAAGTACGTGATCTCGATGAAATTGATTTATCTCTGCTAATAAAGCATATGACACTATGTCGGTACGACGTTGCATCTCGCGCAGCAGCCGTCGCTGTTGTTCTGGGTCTGCAACTGCTACAGCTCCACCACCGCCAGAACCAGATAACGATGCTCCACCACCAGATCCTCCAGTTCCTTCACTACCACTGCCACCAATTGGTAAACCTTCCGAATACAGTCGTTCACATTCTTTCCGTTTTTGCACTGCACTCTATTACAATAAAAAAAGTAATTATGGCACATAGTCAAAAGTTGCATAGACTTTAAACAATATCATCAATAAATAGTAGTTTAATCCATAATAATCGAAAAATAACAATAAGTAAAGTAAAATATGTTACCACTAGTCTTAACATAAACATATACTAYCAAACACAAGTCTGCAAAATACCTTGTGTACAGCTAGTATATCAGGGAATGCGCCTGCAACACCACGGTACACATGTAGCATATCAGCAAATGAGTCCCATCCTACAACGGGTAGCTCGTCCATCAGCCGTCCACCCATTTCATTGTACACATCACCAGTTTTCTTCAATGCAGTCATCAGCTGCCGAGTAGTTAGACTTATCACGTTTCCATTACCACTAGTGTCTCCTATTGATGAAGTTGATGCTCCTATAATATTAATTATTTATGAAAAAAATAATAAGATAGCATAATATTAGGGTATCAACAGGTTATTAATCAAATAGTGCTTCTTACCACTATATGCATGACCCAGCATATAAAATGACTGGCCTAATCGTTGAGCATCACGTTTATAACATGTTTGCATACGTTTTGATTGTTCTGCAACCGTCTGTGCCATATTTTTTAACGCTCCCTCTAATCCGCCCACGAATCTCTGAAAGCCGTCTACTTCACGGTCTCTTTAAAAGTCAAAAGATAAAAATAATAAATAAATAATTAGAAGTAACTTTTTAACATACATACAAAATTGCTGGGTTGATAGGTGGAGGGGGGTCACTACTACCATCTGCAGACACTACTCTAATTACAAAAAATACATTGGCCCCAGTGAGCGTCTCAGCACTAGTGTTCCGTGATTCAGCCTTCCGCTTTCCCGTCTTCCAGCGTTTCTCGTCTGTACATGTGATGAAGTGGTGCCGCCATACCCAACCTCGTGACAGTACGGGATGTCGGCAAACTGCATCTACGAACGCCTGTAATTGCTGTTTACGTCGTTCAATGAATTGTTCTTCATACCGACCTAAGTGTAATTAGTAATTTTGTTAAAAATGCATAATATTATTTTTGGTTTGAAAAATATTATTTATTAATGACTATAGCATATGGCATATATACAAAGCAAATCAACAAGTAGGTCTACTAATTGATACTTCTAACCTGAAATTTGTTTATCTGGTAATGGTGGTATTGGCACTAGACAGCAGTATTTTTCCAACAACCGTTCATGTAACCAGTCAAAGTGCTTGTACCTCCTGGATACTTGAATATTGTTAAACTATAACATAGAAACCAAACAGAAATAAAATATATGTACATAATACTTMYATGATTTAAGTAATTCAGAGAGATGCAGTTGATAAAATGTATGTACAAAAAACTAAACTTTCTTGGTTTTAACTTCAAGGGATATTGTGAATACTCAGTTATTTTAAACACATAACATAGTAAAATATATTTTTATTGTACCAATAATTGTTTTAAWACAAATATGAAAGAATATTTATTATGGMAATATARAAGTTTTATATCAACAAAAACTTTGCAAATCTACTTTAAAAGTATATAAATTATTTTATACAAATTGTAAAATTTTTAGGATTTCACATTACAGGATGGTGAGATAAGAATATAAATATCCTGAATTTAAGAATTTACAGAAAATAAGTTTAAAAATAATATGCATATAATTGTTTAAAAATATATATAAAACTACCTTGTTTTGAATAACTCTAACTATAATTTTATCATATAGTAGGTGATACAAATACCATTAAAACTCATTTAAGAGTAGTATTAATAAAAATTTATAATTTTTATTAAATAGTGAAAAGTTATCATGGTAAATATTTTACAAGTTTTTAATGGAGCAATTATAGATCAGTTAACAGTCATAAAACATTTATTTAGCTAATAGTAGCTTAAACATGATTTAATGACTAATTTTTGGTGCATTAAATTTTATTGAACCATTAAATTAATACATTTTTTCATGTAACATAGCAAAAAAGTATTTTTTTATACCTGATTATACCATTATTAATACTATATGCTGTTAAGGATGGAACTGCACAAAAGATGCAAATAGGTTAGATAAATWAAAAAATTAGTAGAATATAAACATACCGTTGGAGTTAATTGGTATGCAATAAATGATTTCAAGCCTTTGAGTTTAGATTCCTTCTTTGGAGATGCCACCACACACTGGTATCCCTGTGGTTCATCATCAGGGTCTCGGCACCATTCAACATCCACTGCCATAGGACCACCACCAGTACCACCACGTACAACAATTGTTATGTTTTCTGTATCGGGTAAGTGGATGGGCGGCTGGATGGCACCCATTATATATGATGCGTCACCACCACCTACTAACTTAGAAAACCTAGAACTGCTACTACCAGTTGTTGCAGCTGTCTTGCCTTTAAAAAATATACCAAATTTTATAATTATTATTTCACTATATTATTTTATATTAGACTTTTTTTTSTTTGTAGTTAATTGTTTTTGATAAATTGTGGATAAATTATCAAAAATCTAATGATACATTCATTAAAATAAATGTACCAAAATTAGTAATTCTAGGTACCTGTAGTTTTTCTTGACGATGTTGTCTTTGTTCCTATACCTGGATACTGAATAGTTGGAGGTATAACAGCAGAAGAAGCCACGGTACTGCCACCACCATATTCAGAATCGTCATCCCATTCATCATCATAATAATCATCAGGTGACTGTAAACACAATTAATTTCAAAATTAATTTACCATTAAAAATTAGTTATCTCAGACATGTTTGATAATTGGATATTTGCAAATTTATCAGTTTAGAAGAAAAACTATATATGTATTATGTATACATTTAAATACATCACACAAATATTATAATTAATTAACCATTAAATAATGTAGGTAATCTTGATTTGAATCAAGAACAATAAAGCTTAGTTTAAATTTAAGTATATTAGGTAGGTAGGTANCAATTATTTTATAGTAATAACCATTTTAACTATTTTATTTTAAGGATAATAAATAACTTGTTCGATAAATGATCATAATATAATTGTTAATAAGTTATAGACGGAAAAATAATGTTTAACAAATCAGTACACGATTTGATACACGMGGTTAAACAGAAAATATTCTACAAACAACCAAAACAGAATTTCATGAAGAAGTACCAAGAATAATAATAACGTTAAGATAAAAAACATTCAACATTTGGAAGGTAAAGTTATCAAAAATGTTCTTGCAAAACAAATCAGGGACGGCGCGAGGGGGGGGGCAATCGGGGCAGTTGCATCGGGCCCCGTGATTTTAAAATTATAATCTAGGCCCCGCAGTTCTTAAATGATATTTTATACTGTTCAGAGATTAGTTAGTTTGGATAATATGTAATGTGACTGTTATTTATTTTGCCGGGGGCCCCGCAAATCCTAGCGTCATTCCTGAAACGGTACCCGCCGTTTTTCCCGAATTGAAATTCCCGGACACCTTTTTTCCGACAGTTATTGTTCCCGAAATAAAAAATTTAGTTATTACTGGTGTATTTTCTATGTATTTCTATCTATTTTATACCTATAAACCTATATAAGATAAAGATAGTATTTACGAAAAAGTACGGGTATTTTACCTTTATCGCAATTTACCATCGTTACAACGACATACATATGTATAATATACATGTACTATAACTATCTTTGCCACACGAGCATTTAATTTGATTTTTATTTTACACCCATATTATCGCGCGCTTGTGATACTATTGTTATGATTAGTATCGCTCGTATATCGTTGTAATCGAAAAGTCTCGTTATTCGCGTACTATAAGTTGTGGTTATACTTTCGYTTTAATTTTCAGTGCGTTATATTGTATAAGCTTTTTTAAATTATTAAATATTAAACATTAGGTACACTACAGGATTTATTATATTATTATTAACTTTACCAATTCTTTTTTATATTTTATACGTATTATAATTTATCGATTTTAAAATATTATACATTAGGTACATTACAGGATTTATTATGTTATTNCAATTATTTTATAGTAATAACCATTTTAACTATTTTATTTTAAGGATAATAAATAACTTGTTCGATAAATGATCATAATATAATTGTTAATAAGTTATAGACGGAAAAATAATGTTTAACAAATCAGTACACGATTTGATACACGMGGTTAAACAGAAAATATTCTACAAACAACCAAAACAGAATTTCATGAAGAAGTACCAAGAATAATAATAACGTTAAGATAAAAAACATTCAACATTTGGAAGGTAAAGTTATCAAAAATGTTCTTGCAAAACAAATCAGGGACGGCGCGAGGGGGGGGGCAATCGGGGCAGTTGCATCGGGCCCCGTGATTTTAAAATTATAATCTAGGCCCCGCAGTTCTTAAATGATATTTTATACTGTTCAGAGATTAGTTAGTTTGGATAATATGTAATGTGACTGTTATTTATTTTGCCGGGGGCCCCGCAAATCCTAGCGTCATTCCTGAAACGGTACCCGCCGTTTTTCCCGAATTGAAATTCCCGGACACCTTTTTTCCGACAGTTATTGTTCCCGAAATAAAAAATTTAGTTATTACTGGTGTATTTTCTATGTATTTCTATCTATTTTATACCTATAAACCTATATAAGATAAAGATAGTATTTACGAAAAAGTACGGGTATTTTACCTTTATCGCAATTTACCATCGTTACAACGACATACATATGTATAATATACATGTACTATAACTATCTTTGCCACACGAGCATTTAATTTGATTTTTATTTTACACCCATATTATCGCGCGCTTGTGATACTATTGTTATGATTAGTATCGCTCGTATATCGTTGTAATCGAAAAGTCTCGTTATTCGCGTACTATAAGTTGTGGTTATACTTTCGYTTTAATTTTCAGTGCGTTATATTGTATAAGCTTTTTTAAATTATTAAATATTAAACATTAGGTACACTACAGGATTTATTATATTATTATTAACTTTACCAATTCTTTTTTATATTTTATACGTATTATAATTTATCGATTTWAAAATATTATACATTAGGTACATTACAGGATTTATTATGTTATTATTAATTTTACTAATTCATCATTATATTTTATACGTATTATAATTTATATTCGGAAAAAAAGGTTTCGGGTTTTCGAATTTTTGGGTATAATACCATTCGGGAATTTTGATTCGGGCAAAAACAAATAGATCTATTTGTCAGAAAAATAATGTAATGTGTGCTGTGTACATCACAATGCCAAGAAAAGCTCTCATGTAATAAAGTAATTATTTAACATATTTAATATTTTAATGTAATATTTTGCATATTTTCTTTTTTTGTTAATAATATAAGATAAAATTAGTAATAGGTACAATAGTCAACAACTTTAAAATAGTTTAAACTTCAGTATTTAGTTTATATGTTATAAACTTAAAGGACCATCCAACTCAAAAAATCAATTATTATTTTATTACCACAATAAATAGAATAGAGTCTAACTAAGATAATGATACTACTAAAATTCATTTGCGACTATTCGTTCGCTAGTTACGGTGGTTCTTGACATTGCGCGTGACGTCACGGATTCATTCGCCGCGGCGGCGGCCATATATAATACTCGGCAATATTTATTCATTTTTGGTTTAACCTAAAATAACTACTAATGAATTTATTATTTTTCAAATGAACAAATCAAATGTATTTAAGAGTATCTCATAATCTTTCTATTCGTATCATTATTTCACATTTTGGTTTAATCTATTAGAAAAAAATGACACTTAAAACTTAAATCAATTATTTTACGAATTTACCATACATTCATTACAGTAAACGTGTGTAATATTGTTTTGACGATCGTGMCATCGTGTACTTACAGATTTTCGAAGCCTAAACTAGCTATTTTAGTTTTAACTTAACTTGAGCTAATATTAGCTATTTTAGATCATAATAGTAACGTAAACAAAACTATGATTGGAGATAAAATGGTGTACTCTAAGCCCTTGGGGCGTTATACTATGAAAAATCGATATACATCTACAACCAATAATTGGCGTGCTGAAATAATGCAAAATGTTAAAGAAAAGTCTAAGATAAGTTTAATTTGCCAAAATCAAGATCAATTAATATCTGTACCAAAGAATATTGTATCTATTCCAAAACCAGATATAAATGAGTTGAGATCAAAAAAATATTCCAGATTTTTCAACGATAATAATTAAAAATGATTTTAAAT